ACTACTACAGGCTCAACCTCCCTCCCCCGGACCAATAATTTGTCTGCGACCTGTTCATTCAGATCGAAACCTTCCCATTTTGTTATGTGCCCATGGGAACACAAAATTGAGGTTGAGATGAATGTTCTGCGTGATTCAGTTCCAAATTGCTACCAAACCATTTGGCCAGAACAGGCATATACAATCGTGCACATGCGTGCAGTTATCCTCATCCTTTTCAACGTCCCCTCCCTTCCGCTGTTCGCCTAATCTTATCCACAGACAGAACAGCATAACTCTCACTGCCGGAACTATCCGGTTAAAAACAAATGCACCATCATGTGGAAATGGGAGGACCAAAACCAACTACTACAACGGCAACTAACTGCATTAATCATTCACGCCTGATACCCCGATCAGGCACGCATTAATCCACAAACGTGTCTCCTAACTGGTGGATGTGCATATACTTCGGTCCAACCCTACTTGCCCAGTCTCAAATTGCCACTTCATGCACGCAATAACAGTGGCGACAATAGAAACAAATGGTTTACCTACCCGTCTGCTGAACTCGGTCCCGAATGACGTTTGTGCACAGCATGCGAGCCGGATCTCAATTCCGTCGGATGAGGATGTGGATGAAGCGAATGATGAGGACGTGGTGCTGAACCACGAGTATACAGTTTGCCTTCGTCGACAACCATTAGCTTCGTGGGTGTTGTTGCATTATACATAGAGCTGGTTTGAGCAGCGGTCGCGGACACGGCTGTACATGGGGATGGACGGAGGATAACACCTTCATTTGATCGATTCATTTCTGCCACAGTGGTACATGACAAATTGAGCCGACTATCCGATTTGGAATGTCGTGTGAACATGGTGGAATTGGGTCTGGTAGTTTCCAGGACAACTCTGGAATCTGGGTGTCGAGGTTGTGCAGGAATTTCCAGTTCCGGGCAATAAAATATCGCCTTCGGTGCGGAAGTATCGCGAGTTGAGGTGGTAGGTTTAGAAACTGCCAAATAGTCCGAATGCCGATGTTCCATTATTTGTGGTCTGTCGGTTGAGGAGTCCAGTACACCTTCAAAGCTCGAGGATCCGCCAGCACTGTTGTACCAATTTAAATGTTCCCGTTATTAGAGTTTGATAATTGAGATCAAAAATAAAATAAAATTATTTGGATCACACTCTGCTATGTTTTCCGGTCGGTTAGACAAGTATTCAACGTGTGATAAATAACGCTTAAATCATTCTCCTCTCACCTGTTCAAAACTGTTTTGTACATTTAATAAACTCAAATTGTTAAAAATTCTATTTATCGTCACAAATGAAATCTAAATGAATTTGATTTAGTGAAGAGGAGTTCAACGATGCACCTGCTATCGGTCTATACACATTCCCGATCGCTTCTCTTCCTACCCTGATCACTTTCAGTATAAGCATAGTTCTTTCAGAGGAATAAATCGAATTTTGCGAGCGTGTAATCGGGATCACAAAAACAGATTCAGTGACAGATTTTTACGTACTTTCGGTAAATACGAAAATCCTGTCAAGTGGTTTTGTGGACGAGTACTTTCGAAAAACCGCCAATTTTTGTTGCATATGGCGCGTGCACTCGAATGAGACAATTTGTGACGATTCACAGCCTTTTGATAACAAATTTAGTTTCTGTTGCTCATCAAATAATATTCGGACAACTTTAATTATTACTACAACATTTGTAGGACCATTATTCTTCATGCATAAAAGGGTAGTCATTGAGAAGAGTCCCTTTCTGTAGTTGATAGCTGTGATATTGTTTTCAAACAGGATTGAGCTAATTCCGGTTACTTCAGTTTCATTGTCTGATCAATCAGGTTTTGTTACATTTTGATAGCACCCACGTTCACGGATAGTATTTCCTCAGTTGGTATTTTGCTCCAACGTCTGCTCGTCATTAAACAGAGTGGTACGTATTTAAGCAATCCACGAAATAGTCCGCATTACTCATCAAATCCGATGTATACACAGGAAAATGATGAATTAAATTTGCCTGTCTATTTAAATCGCTGGTTTCGAAAAACCCTGACATTTACATATTTCACTAGGGGATTTGAGCTATAGTTTGCTCAGGAATTGAACGTTGAATCTCGGAAAACTCCGGTTTTCGTGTCTTTACACAACTACAAATCTCTTTTCAATGAAAGTGACCTCAGAGTAAAACAAGAGCTTGGTGACTTTCGTCACATGTTTTGCTCGTGATGTATCCACCATCATTCATAATTTACCGCTCACATTGGATAATTTCGATGGGTCATTGCCGTTTCATAGCTCATTTTCATTGACCAACCAACTAACTAATCAGCCGAACAACTTTCGTTGTGTCCACAACCACACTGTTTGCTCACTTTTTCCTTGATAGTAGTTATTCTTCCACGCGAATAGACTTCATTATCATCCTACATTCGATTCACATCCCAGGGAATCATTTATCAAATACACGTAGAAAACCTTGGCATTCCGAGGGAATTACACACAAGATTTTCCGACCTATGCCTATTTGGTAGTGTCGTATGTTTGCAAGGCATAACACAATGCAAAAGATCGATATATGTGTTGTTACAAAACAATTACGAAAAACGGATGGAATATTACAGAATTAAGAACTGGTTTCATTCAGATTTTCAAACCTGGTGTTCTCAGCTAAAAATGTCTGCTAATTATTTCTAGCATTTCAAGCAGTGCCCTAACTTTTCTGAGGCGTGTGAAGGACAAATGTACACACGTCAATCGGCAGACTAAGTGCAACCATACAAGTATCGTGGTTTTAAGCAGCAGCATGTAAATCTTCTCGGCCGTGATTCTTTGCAACTGAAATCCAGTTGCGGGTTCAATTATTCTCTAATCGTGTAGAAATTCTCCCTCTCCCGCAGAATTCTTTATCGGCCAGACGGCATGTTCACCTTTCTCCCTGAATCCATGTGACCAGCTTCAGATAACCGATCCATGAAGGAGTATGTTTTGCGAGTACACGGAATAATTTCCCCCATATGCTCATTGCAAATCATTGTATCTGTGGTTTTGGATGTTCCGTTGGAGTCAAAATTCACGCCCTGCTAATTGGCATGCACGCTTAAAAGATGCAAGCAAAACCGAGTTAGTCAGTGTGACATTAAATGTGCGAAGACTGCTGTAAACCTACAACACATCTAGCGGAGTAATGAACACGACATTAGTGACAACCGTTGTGCGTATGAGACGCCGCATTGCTTCGTATTTGTCAACATTGGTATGGGTGAATGTATATTCTCTGGGTTTTCAGACGTTTGGCAGAATTTTCATTTGATGGTTAAACCAGTAAGCCGGTGCACCTGAGGCATAGTAGCGCACGTTAGGATTGATTCAAAACGGCTGGCCTACCTCCGTTGAGTGGGATACATTTCAGTCAATATGCTTGGTGCATGACAGGGCTGAAAAGCGTTTCATAAAAGTACAATGTTTGATATATAGATCGAAGAAATATAAAACTCATAAACTCATTAACTGTTTTCGGTCGAAGAAGTAAGCCATTAGAGATATTACATCTGAAGATATCACTGTATGTGACACAGGGCCGTTGCCTAAACAAACAGTGTTCGTAAGTTATAAAATTTTGGTTTTCCACGAATCAAATTCTCAGAGCATTTTGATGCAGTCACAACTGTTATTTGTACTGGGCACTGTGCAGAACGTAAATTGGAATGATTTTAATGTGCACTTATTTTACACGTGCGCTTAATTGAATGAGATACATGTTTAGTTAGGACAGTTTGTTGTTCATGTAGACACGATATTCTAATCGAAGCATTAAATCACAGATCTGCAGAGGCTTGAACCCGTTCACGAATCATCAATGCAATACACAAGTTGGGGTTCTAACCTGGACACAATGGGCTGATAATAAAAAGCATTTACCATTTCATATCAACTCTCGACAGTCCGTTTAAAAGTACGCATTGTGAGAAAATAGATACATTCGGTTTCACAGGTGTTGAACGTTTTCTCCAAATTTATTTGCGAAAAGAAAGCCCACAGATTAGCGTCATTTTACCTTCGCTGATGTGATCGGGTTCTGCGATGCATTTGTCGATGAGACTGGGTTTGAGGTTGCGAATGACTTGGCTGATATTGTTGGGCATACTTCGACGAGTGGGACTTCTTGATGAGCTGTTGACGTGCCAAATGACGTTGCGTTATTTGTTTCTGTTGTCGCAACTCATTCAGTATGGCCTCTCGACAACCGGGGCACTGAATGCTATCCAAATCCAAATCATTGTAATCGGTTAAACCGGGATAAAATTCCGGATGATCTTGGATATCGGTTGCCGTGTCATCATTTCCACCCTCACTTGTTCCGGAATATTGTGGCTGGTCACCCACAATCCAATCCTGTAACATTGAGTCTGGAGCCAGATTTATGTGCTCTGATGGTAGGGGTTCTACATAAGGTTTTGCCAAACTGCGCTTTGTTCGTTCACCGGACTGACGCACATTACAGGGGCCTCGATTAAACGCAGACCAATTTGGATCGGATGTTTCGGCTATGTGTATGAAACAAAAAAGGGGAATAAAGAAAAGGGGTTCCAGAGAATGGAAAAGTAATATCATCAATCGTCAGAAATCATGCTCAATTAGATTTGAAATTATTATGACTGATCAACTTTGTCGACATTAAATCTTGCACTAACTGAAAATCTCCTCGTTGCTTTTTTTTCTCGATCACTCTTCAACATTCACCTTGGTGCCTGAAAAAGTCGAATCTTTACATTAGACCCCGCCGTTTGTTTCATCGATGGATAACAAACCAGCAGTAGAGTACACATTGCCAATCATCGATAAAGTGCCCTTCTGCTTCAACGAATACCGGAGTAATTTATTAGCGTACGAAGAAAAAAACACCAACTTATATGAATCTTTCAAGATGTGTTCGGTACATGTAGATTCAAAACACTCTTTTCAGACTGCCTTGAAAATAATCACTTGAAAGTCTAGTTTGATCCGGGGTCTATCTTGAGGAATTGGTGTCTATAGACCCCAGGGTGCAGATAGTTGGATTCGTGTCCGCGATCCACCGGTTGATGAATTGCCGATGTCTACCGCTCGATTATTCCGTTTGCATTACGGATCAGAAAGAGCCCGTACAAATTTTTCGAGGATCTTTTCTGTGAATA